CATGCGGGGCCCACCTTCCTCGGTCTTGGCCCTAGTGGAACGCCGCTCAGATGGGTCCCACTCCCTGGTGCACGGGATCGAGCGGTGCGGGGAGGCGTCGGCCGTGGTTACCGCTTGGAGGGCCCTGGACGAGCAACTCGGGGTCGCCCTCTCTCCGTCCACGAACTGCGACACCGTCCCCCACGTCTGGGAATGCCCACAGCACCCTGCGGAAGAGACTCCTGGGGCTGCTCACCCCTACGCCCGGCGGCTCCACTCCACCCAGGACAGAGCCCACTACTACCACTACCACTCGGTACAAGGAAGCCTGCCGCAGTGGAGGGACACGCCGGGCAGGGAGTACGTCCTGGCGTCGGTGGATGACCTCCGGAGGCTGCACTTCCCCGCCGCCAGCGACCAGCGCGTGATCTGGAGGGCCCTGGAGCAGGCGGAGGAAGTGGAGCGAGTCCGGGCGCGTGCCCAGCCGGAGCCCCCGCCGGAGGGAGCGGCGGGCGCCGCACCCGCATCCGGGACGGCGGGGGGAGCGGCAGGCGCCGACCTATTCGCCGCCCGGCCCAGCCTCCGGATCACGCTCCAGGGGATAGCGGGCCCCCAGCACGTCGAGGAGCGTCACCGTCTCCTCCGGGCGCGCCTCATCACCCTCTTGGGCGTCCTCGACACGCCCGGTGACCGGGAAGCCCGGGGCTGCACGCACGAAGACCTTGTGGCCTCCCTGGAGGAGTCGTACTCCGAGGTTCACCTGGTGTTCTTCACGGAGTCGCGGCGCGCCCTCGTGTTCGCCTCCGGGGTCGGGCCCCCGGAGCTCACCCACAGGCCCGAGGCCGCAAAGAAGCTACTCGAGGAAGGAGATCATGAGGGGGCCCTCCATGCGGCCCTGGGACCCGGGGTGGTCCCGGTGCAGCGACGGGCGGAGGGGGACCTCGACCCCGCGCGGGAAGCGGAAGAGCCTCCCCCGGAGGAGCCACCCCCGGCACCCGCAGATCTCGGGAGCGCGCCGGTCGTCCCCGGCCCTGCTGGACCGGCGCAAGGAGAAGCCCAGGACGATTCGGGGGAGTCGGGCGGGAGCGCAAGAGGAGCGCACGAGGAGGACCCCGACGAGGACCCTTACGACTGGGTGGCCAGCTGGATCCCGGAAGGGATGGCGGCGGACTGGGTGCGCACCCCCATGCTGCCGACGGGCGGCTACACTATCAGGGCGCCCATCCCCCCAAGCTGGGTGGAGCTGTGGAAGCCCGAGGTCCTGCAGGAGATGGGCCACTTCCCCCCGGAGCTGGCGGCATGGCTGGACTCCACCATTCGGGTCGGGGGGGAGGGATGGACCCAGTTGGATGGGTGCCCGCGGAGCCTGGACACCCACCGCACCCTCCCGCTCCGCTTGGAGGAGGGAGGCACGGAGACGGTCTACTACCACCCGAAGCACATGCTGCTGTTCTTCGTGGAGGCGCGGGAGGTCTACAGGCTGATGCACTTGGTCCAGGGCCCAGTCCCCCAGCACCTCAGGGCGCACCGGGATGAGCAAAAGCTCCGAACGGCACGCCTCCCCCCCCCGCCGCTTCGGAAGACCGCAGAGCCCGTCGCCGGCGGGGAGGCGGACGGAGCCGCGGGGGGGCACCCCGCTGGCGCGGAGAGTGGGGGCGGGAGACCCCTCCCAGATCAGGGCGCGGAGCCGCCTCAGGACGCACCCGCTGAGGAGGGGCGGGGAGGCGGGGGCGCGGAGCCGGGAGGGGGAGCGGACCAGAAGGGCGAGGCCGACCTTGTCGGGGCCGCCAGCCCAGCTCAGGGCGCGGCGGAGGACGGGTCTGGGCTGGAGGGACCGACCGAGTCACCCGAGCCCCCGGAGGGCGCCCAGCCCAGGCACCCGCGCTTCCAGCTGCCGGAGGAAGGGCCCCCGGGGCCCGAGCCGGCACCCCCGGCCGAGGGTCGGGAACCCCAAGAGGCGGAGCCGGCGGCGCCGGCCGAGGACACCTTCGAGACCCGGGAGCTATTCTGGTCGGACGCGTGGCTACAAGCCCCGATGGGTGGCGGCTTCCGCAACGTCCTGCAGGTCCTGGTGGAGATCCTCGTCGACGAGCAGAGGGCGGGGGCCTCTTCCTCCCCCGGGGGGGAGCGCCTGTTCCACCTGGGGGGCTTCAGCCGCAGGGCCCAGGCGGGACTGGGCCAGACCAACGGGCGGATCGCGGAGGAGTACCTGAAGGACACGTTCGGGGAAGGCGTTCAGACCAATACCAACCCGTCCACCGGGAGGGAGTACAGGATCCCCGAGGCCATGGAGAAGTTGCAGGAGACGAGGGAGGCAGTCCTGCGGAGGAGCCTGGAAGTGACCCGGCCGGAGGCAGAAGCCCCGAGACCAGCCCGGGGCGGGCTACCCCGTTCCCCCCGCGAGGCTGGGGAGACCGACGCACGGGGCAAGGGGGGGCGCCCTACCAGCCGTGCACGGGAGGCGACCCCGGAGCCCCCGGCGGGGGCGATACTGCAGCTGGAAGAGACGGACTGAGCCGGACCCGGCCTTGCGCGGACGTCCGGGAGGCGGGTGGCCCTCTCCATGAATTCATCACGGACCCCCCTCCCTCTGGAGGGGTGGCCCCGAGTTTTCGGGCCCCCCTGCACGCACGCCGGCCGCCGAGCCACGAACGTGTTAAGCGGCTGCACAGGATGCGGGCAGGGTGACCCCTGCGCGGCCCCGGTCACTCCCCCCCCCCCGCCCCACGTGGCGCACTGCGCGGACATGCCCCGGCGCGCCTGGAGTGGAGCTCCCCCTAGGCGGGGCTCGGTGGTGGAGCTGGCCCGCGGCCCCCTTTTTTAATCGTTTCGCGGGGCCCCGCCCCCTGCCTGTGAGCAGCTTGCCCATTGGAGGTCGGCGGTGGCTTGGACTTTTACCGGAGGGTGGGGCCCGGGACGGGCGTGGGCGGAATGCCTGCGGCTGCGCTCGCGGTCGTCGCCAAAACAGGGCCCCCTCCTCTCTTGACAGTTAACGGAGTTTGGGGGGAATATGGTTTCGCTTGGCTATGCCTAAACGGTTTTATTCCCCCCTAGGCCGCAGTGTCTGGCTCCCTCCCCCTTGTTCCCTTCCCCCTCTTCCGCAGCCGTCCGTGCTTCGAGCTGTGCTTTTCCACCTCCCAACCCACAACTTTTTTCAAGGAGCTGTTCCCTGGAGTCCCCTTCGTCAGTCGGAGAGCTCCAGGGCGGAATGCCTGCGGCTGTGCTCGCGGTCGTCGCCAAAACAGCGCCCCCTCCTCTCTTGACAGTTAACGGAGTTTGGGGGGAATAATACTGTAGATCGCCGTTGAACTTCTCCTTGAAAGTGGCGTCGTCGCAGTTCAGGCCGAGCTTCTGAGCTTCCCCTGGAGCCCCCTGCGCGGACGAGCGCAGACCAGCTCTTGCGTCATCATATAAGAACCGAGGCAAGCGGCCCAATTTCAAGTCCCCCCATGTTGACGATCCAGAGCATTCGGACGACTCCGAGTATGCCGGGAAGTTTTGCTCCAGCGAAGTTCTCTCTCTCTCTAGCAAATTGGTCCACGTCGGGGTATCTCTCACAACAGATTTGCCCGACGAAATGCTTCAGCTCCGTCGCATTCACGAGACCTTCCTCGATTTTCTGCGCGATCTCCCTCAGCGTGGCGAACTGGTGCAGACGCTGAACGAACATAAAAAAAATGATAATGCAGCCCCCCCGTCGTTTTCTGAGCCTCCACGGCGCCGAACAAGCGCCCACGCGCCCGGCTATGCCTCCCATGGCTTCAGCGTTGCTGCCGAGGGCGTCCGGGCACGGCGAGCCAGATTCAGAGCACTGCGGACAGCGAGGGCACATGCGGACTCCGAGCATCGTCGCCAAGACCGTGCGTATCTGCACGAAGAATGCGTTGGAGGCGGCGAAGGGGTCCTCTGCGAGGAACAAGCGACGCGTGTCATATCCAGGAATGTGGACCTCAAACTCGTCCTCTGGCGACGGCTCCAGGCTCGGCGAATCGCTTCTTGCCCACTGCTGTCTCCTGCTCTCGCTTGCAACGAAGGGATCGTCCTGGCGGTACCTGCTGAGCCTGAGCGCTAGATGTGCCGCTCTCCTGGGCCCTGGGGAAATAGTACAGAATATGCCATTCCCGTAGCTAACGCAAGCCCAGATCCCCAGGTGCCCAATCTTCGTCCGAATCTCCTGCGTGCCTGGAATGGCCCGGCATCGAAAGCGGAAATCAGCTAAGAGTCGCCGCTGCAGGTTGCCGAGGCCGACTGCGAAAATCAGCTTACTGGCATCATTGTTGATTTTTCGGCGTCTGCCATCGGGTAACGTGTAGTAACCCTTCTCGAGCTTCTGGAGTAAATCGGCAGCGGCAATGGCAGCGTCAGTCTCCACGCTCTCTGCGCTTTGGCCTTGCAAACGTTCCCCTCTCTTGATGCTCAGGCTTGCTCCGAGATTGACGTGCGCGCAGTCTTTTATTCCTACTTGCCATGTGCCTATCCTGCCACTGTGGCACAGCATGGCATAGCACGGCATGGGTTCCCAGGAAGGTGATAGATGCGTTGTTTCTTATACTCTATTCTCTTATGCGTGTGTCACTGTGTAATAGCATGGCATAGCACAGCTGTGTCACTGTGGTATATCATGGCAAAGCATAGCATGGGTCACCAGAAAGTGGTGACCCTTATGTGTGCGGTGTTCTTACTTACAGATCTATGCCTATCCCGCGGACTCTTATTTCTATATGCGTCTCCTGTATCTCACTTGCCCACGGCCTATCACGCAACCGTGCCTTTATAGTGGCACAACATTGGTACCGCCGCCGTGCTATGGCAGCTCATCGTGAGTCTTCCAAGAGTGGGCGCTATCTGTCTGTGCGTTTCTTCTTACTTTACGTGTCGGAGGCCTATCCCACTGGCCTCCTACAGCAGCACATGCTCTCTGCATATCCTCTGTCCGCGGCAGCGGTTATATCTATCATGCTCGCAGCCGTTATTGGTTCAGCAGCTATTGTGTGCATTCAACTGCCTACTCGTTCCTCCAGGTCTATTGAGATGGCAGGATATCACACAATTACCCTGTTTGTACCCGCCCCCGCCGCGGCGTGGCTTGCCCATTTCTACGGTCTGCTCACGAAGGTCGCTGATCGCTACGATCTTATTGACGTGCCGGATGGGGATTGGCACGGCTGGCGTACTATCATGTACTTCAGCACTCACCATCACGACATGATGGACGTGTACATATGCTATGGCACACCCCGAGACTTTTTAACGAGCTACCGTCACGCTCGTGGCTATCATCGTCTGGGTTACATGTCGATATATTCCATGCTCCACTTCCACTATGGCATATTCCGGAAGGGGCACACCGAGGTCTTGGCCTATAGCGAGGACATGCACGACGACCGTGTATCGGATCTTTACGTGCGCGTTCCTGCCATTGCCGCTGACCTTTACGCTGTCGCCCCCAGCGACTGCTCTATCGAGCGCGTTTGGGAGAACGACCTGCGCTTTGTACGGCCGACGGACATGTCGCGCGTCCTCTATCACATGCCGTCGCTCCAGGACTTCACGATGCCCATGCTACAGCCCCGCGTCCTCAACCCTATCGTTGAAGACTATCAGGTGCAGCACTTGCAAGCCGTTGTCTCCGAGGAGCCATACGAGCGCATCTTCCGCTTCGCGTCCTATGTCCGCACGCACTATTACAACACGGACCACGTCGATGGAGGGACTATTACCAGTCCCAGCGGGCAGCAGAGAGATACGCTGCTCAACATCTGCGAGCGGCTGCACGGCGCTATCTCCACGGAGGCCCTCAATGTCACCCACGCTATGGTTGATGAGGGCCCTCATTTAGTTCAGGAGAACTGAGTGGCGCTATGCTTACATCCCAGCCGCCATCCTCTCCACTGCGTCCCAATTCTTCATGCACCTCCCACGAAGAGGAGAGGACCTCCAATGAAGAGGAGAGGAGGAGGAGGAGAGGATGACCTCCAATGAAGAGGAGAGGAGGAGGAGGAGGAAGGAGGAGGGGGAAGGAGGAAGAGGAGGAGGAAAAGGAGGAGGAGGAGGAAGAGCAGGAGGAGGGGGAGGAGGCGGACGTGGAGGAGGAGGAGGAGGAGAGGGAGGAGGAGGAGGAGGAGGAGGAGAATAGGGATGGAGGATAATGATGATGATGATGAAGATGATGATGATGATGATGGCGGTGTGCTGATGATGATGAGGATGATGATGATGATGCGGATGCTGCTGCTGCTGATGATGCTGATGCGGCTGATGATGATGATGCTGCTGATACTGATGCTGATGATGATGATGCTGATAATGATGATGGCGATGATGATGATGATGCTGATGCTGATGATGATGATGATGATGCTGAAGATGATGAGGACCCACGGCCTCTGTGCGCATGTGTTGCATCTCACCTACTTACATCTCGTCCCGCCACTGTGCTATAGTAGTACCACATGGGTCCCAAAAAGTTGGCACGTCTGCTACGCACCCAATAGGTTACCCACTTTTTGGGTAACCTATGCTCTGCCATGCTGTGCTATGCTATGCTATGCTACACCATGGGTTCCCTACTTTTGGGGGAACCCATGCTTTGCCATGTGTGCTATGCTATGCTATGCGATGCTATGATATGCTAGACCATAGGTTCCCCAGTTTTGGGGGAACCTATGCTTCGCCATGTTGTGCTATGCTGTGCTGTGCTGTGCTATGCTATGCTACATCATAGGTTCCCCACTTTTTGGGGAACCTGTGCTTTGCCATGCTGTGCTATGATATGATATAATGCTATGCTATGCTGCACCATAGGTTCCCCACTTCTTGGGGAACCTATGCTTTGCCATGCTGCGCTATGCTATGCTATGCTATGCTTTGCTACACCATAGGTTCCCCACTGTTTGGGAAACCTATGCTCTGCCATGCTGTGCTGTGCTATTATGCTACACCATAGGTTCCCTACTTTTTTGGGGGGGGACCTATGCTTTGCCATGCTGTGCTATGCTGTGCTATGCTATGCTATGCTATGCCACACCATAGGTTCCCCACTTCTTGGGGAACCTATGCTTTGCCATGCTGTGCTGTGTTATGCTATGCTATGCTATGCTACAGAATAGGTTCTCCACTGTTAGGGGAAACTTTGCTTTGCCATGTTGTGCTATGCTATGCTATGCCATGGTGTGCTATGCTATGCTTCACCATAGGTTCCCCACTTTTGGGGGAACCTATGCTTTGCCATGCTGTGCTGTGCTATGCTATGCTATGCTATGCTATGCAACAGCAATCATGCATTGTTCTATGTCACCATCATGGATACAAATATATCCATGCAGTAATCATCCATGCAATAATCATTTCCTCTCTATCTTCCTCTTGGCCTGGAGCGCTAGCTCAGTTTGCTGCTTATGACGGCACGTTTTTATCAGCAATGCCTATCGCTGTAAAACAGCGCTGGGGCGATGCTATCTTGGGGCGCGGATCCCCAGTCTCTGGACCGGCTTCTCTGGGCGACCGGAGGCGCGATTATGATAGGTGATGTCGCGCTGCCGATGGTGGATACGAGCGCGCGGGCAGTCTATTCTGTGCGCTCTTGTTCTCTCTGCTGCATTCGTTCACGCACCTCCAATGAAGAGGAGAGGAAGAGGAGTTTGAAGGAGGAGGAGGAGGAGGAGAAGGAAAAGGAGGAGGAGGAGAAGGAGGAGGAAGAGGAAGAGCAGGAGGAGGGGGAGGAGGCGGACGTGGAGGAGGAGGACGAGGAGGAGGAGGAGGAGGAGGAGGAGGAGAGGGAGGAGGAGGAGGCTCAAGCGGGCTCAAGCTCAAGCGGGCGCGCGGGGCCCCTCCTGCCCTCGGCCGTGCCGCGCGCCGTGCCATCGGCGTGGCCGCAGCCTGCGGGGAGGCCAACCAGCCCGCCTCCCCGCGCCACTGCTCGGGGGGGAGGGGGGGGCTACCCAGCCCGTCTCCCACCTCCCCCCACCGGCGACTGCGGGGAGGCTGACCAGCCCGCCTCCCCGCGCCACTGCTTGGGGGGGAGGAGGAGGCTACCCAGCCCGTCTCCCACCTCCCCCCACCGGTAGAGGAGTCAGAGGTGGAGACAGAGGAGGGGCAGATGGAGGAGGGAGAGGACGACGACGTCGAGCTGGGCGCCGAGGCGGCACCCAGGCCAGGGCCCGCTGCCCCGCCCGGGCCTTCTGCCGGCGCCGGAGAGGGAGAGCAGGGGGCAGCAGCGGCAGCAGCAGCAGCAGGAGGAAGAGGGCAGCGGCGACGCGCCGCTGGAGAGTGGGCGCTGGACCTGCAGCCGGTGTCCAAACGCCCAGCAGCATGCAAGGCGTGCGCTGCCCCGTTCGCGTCGCGGGAGATGCGCCTATGCTCGTGGGGGAGCCGGCAGCGATACAGCTGGATGCGCATAGGGCGCATGGCTGGCAAAGTGGGCTCAGAGGACGAGATCCGCCCAATCGGTCGCGCGGAGGCCGCGCACGCCCAGGAGGCGCGGACCGCGCTGGCCACCGCAGCTGCCGACCGCGACGCTGGCGGAGGGCATCCTGGCCAGGTGGCCCAGGGAGGGCTCGACCCTGACCACGGCGGGATACCAGTTAAACACCCAACTTGGGAGGAACAGGTGCTGCCAGGGCGCGAGTGGTGGCAGAACTTGGCCTGGGGGGCCGCTCTCAGAACAGGAGTGTCCACTTTCGTGCAGGTGCCCGACAGGTTCCGCGGGGCCGTGGCTCACGCCCGCCACAAGGCTTTGGAAGTGCTGGAAGAAACGTGCCGCCAGGGAGACGCTTCCGCAGAGTGGAAGTTGTTCTTGTTGTTTGACATGTTGCTCCTCGCCCGGCCGAGCGGCAGCGGCCCAACGTGTGCAGAACTACTGGAAGAGCGGCTTGCCTTGTGGTGGGGAGGTCAGTGGGAGCCTCTGTGGGCTTCTGCTACGGGGAGCAGCCTGGCGGCCCGGGCGCCTGCAAGACGTACAACCGCCAAGCAGAGGGGGAGGCGCGTGCACACGCTGGCTGCTGCTGGCGAAGAGAGCCGCGCCCTGGCCGCCGCAGTCGGGGCCGAGCTTGCGCCGCGCACGGACGCGACGCTAGACCAGCTGCGCGCGAGTTTCCCGCCGGACGAGCGCGCCCCCGCAGAGGCGCAGCCGCAGCCGCCGCCGCCGCCACCCCTACCGCGCGCGCCGCCCAGCCCGGAGCTCCGGGAGCAGGCGGAGGACGAGGTGCGCAAGCTGCTGCGACGCCCTCCCCGGCTTACAGCGCCAGGCCTGCTTGGAACGCGGCCGGAGCACCTTGCCGCCGGCGCCGACAGCGGAGAGACTCGACGCCTGCTCGCCCGGGCGGCCGCGCGGGTCGCCTTCGGCGAGCTCCCGCCGGATGTTCTCCGGGCTCTCCGGTCTGGCGAGCTCGTGGCCCTCGACAAGGGGGGCGGCGAGGTTCGACCTCTCCTGGTGAGCGCAACGCTACGCCGCCTCGGACTGCGGGCGCTGGCCAGAGCGCGGAAGGCTGAGCTCACCGACGCGGCGGGCGAGCACCAGTACGGGGTTGGGCGGAAGGGCGGAGCGACCCTGCTGGTGAAGCACCTGCAAGTCCTGGCGGAGACGCGGCCAGACGCCTTGTTTATCAAGGTGGACGTGAAGGCGGCGTTTCAAAGAATGAGGCGGGGCCCCGCTTTCCAGGCGATGGCGGTGGCGGTCCCCGAGGTGGCCGAGGTGTTGCGGGCGTGGTACGCGGAGCCGGCCGAGCACTACTGGCGGGGGGCCACCGGCCGGTTCGAGACTGTACGGAGCCGCTGGGGGTTCGACCAGGGGGACCCGCTGTCCCCCGCCGGCTTCGCCGTCGGCCAGCGGCAAGCCTTGGAGCAGCTCCTGGGCGAGCTACAGCAGCAGGACCCACGCGCCAGGCTTTTCTCCTACCTGGACGACACCTACCTCGTGCTGAGGGCGGACCTGGGGGTGCTCACGCTGGCTGCCCTGAACAGGGTGCTTGCTCCGCTTGGGCTCGAACTCAACGCTCGGAAAACACAGGTCTGGTCACCGGCCGGGGCGCAGGCTGTCCCGCGCGAGCTGGCGGGCCACTTTGTGCCCGTGCTGCCGGTGCTCGGCACGAAGCTTCGGGCGCCCGGGGACGCCGACGACGCGGCGCTTGCCCTCGGCGGGGAGGGGTGCGGGCTAGACAAGGCAACGACGCGCCTGCAGCAGCTCTTCGCTCGCCTCCAGGAGCTCCAGGAGAGCCTCTCCAAGCAGGCGAGGGCGGCGCTCTTGACGACCTACGCGGGCAACGCCAGCCAACACTACCTCCAGCTTGCGCTGGCGACGCCCGGCGAGGCCTTCGCCTACGACGCGGCGCTGAGGGCTTGCTGGGAGCAGCTGCTGGACCGCCCTCTGGGACCCGAGGCCCGCGAGCTGCTGGGCCTACCGCGCAAGCTCGGCGGCGAGGGGGCCCAGTGGGCGACCACGAGGCGCGCTGCGGCCTTCTGGGCTGCCTGGACGCACGCTGCTGACGAGGTGCGCCGCGACCTGGGCGCCGCTTCGCTCGCGGACGCGCTGGACGCCCCCCCGCGGAACGCAGCGAAACTGGCGGAGGCGCGCGCAGAACTGGCGCGCCAGGGCGCGGAACCCCCCCCCGCCGCCCCGCTCGCCGCGGCGCTTGGCTGGCCGATGAGGCAGAAGACGATGGTTGCGACGGTGCACAAGACAAACCTGGCTGCCGCCCGGCAGCAAGTGTGCCTACGCAATCAGGCTGTCCTTCAGTCCGCCGGCGGGCCGGGGTCCGGGGCGTACCTGCAGTACCCCACGGAGGCAGCGTGTGCGT